TTAGGATTCCACAGTTCAATTTATAACTCTTAAGTAGGCAACCTATATAAGGCAATTGTGTGTTCGTCTTCCTCCTGCTGTGAGAACTCAGAAACCCACATGTATATCACTGTCTTCTTCTCATAGGAAAACATTTGAAGTAAGCATCCTCTCTAGAGCACACTGTAGCATCATAGTTTGTATGTCATTTATAATAGAAGCCAGCTACCTCACACCAGAAGTTGGGAGATTTGTGTAAGTGCATTGTTTTCTGTCTATTAACCAAAGTATTGGTGGTGCTTTCTCATTACAGGATTAGGAGGAAGATGAAAATTAACCATTATAATTTTCAATAACTCTCTGGTCTTATAGCTATCACGTATGACAGGACTCACACAGCCTAGACTGGGCTCAAACTCACTATATAGCTGAGGGTGACCCTGAATTTCTTCTTCAGCCTCCTGGGAGTGTGAGGTTTAAAAGTTGAGCCAAGACAGCCAGTTTATGAAATCCTGGGGATTGAAACAGAGCCTTGTGAATATAGGTAAGTAGTTTACTACCTAGTTACTTCTCGAGCCCAGCATCAGACATAGCCTTGAACTTCCTAGGCAGAGTTAAAAGGGTACTTCAGTATAATATTTAAAGTTCTGTCTCAGTGAAGAAAGCCCAGACATGATAACACAGTTCAGCTCTCTACTGGGGTATCAGCTGGACTGGAATTTACATATAAAGAATGCTTTTGCAGTTTTTTAAGATATTGCACCACTTCTTGATTTTGTGATTTCTTACCGTTCACGTCGCCTTTCTCCTTCTTCCCAAATTTAGGAGAAAAGATGGTGAGAGGATCATCAAGTCTTTCTCCTGCCCCCTACTGGCTCTTCTCACCCATGGTTCCCCCCCACCCAGACAAGAAGTCAAGACCATCCTGGGTCCTCTGCTACTCAGCATTCCCTCTTAGACAACAAGGATCAGAGGGACCTATTGGGGGATTTCAAATAACACATCATCATACACCTACTAGAATGGTTACAATCAGGCTGACAGTGCCACGTGTTGGCAAAAATATGGAGAAACAAATCTTGATACATCCATGATGGAAATGGAAAATGATATAGCCACATTGGAAAACAGTTTCTACTTTTTTATTTTATATGCATTTCCCTCTGTATGTATATATGTGTGTCACGTTACACACTGCCTGATGGAATGGGATTTGCAGGTCATTGTGAGCTTACATGAAGATGCTGGGAGCTAAGCCCAGGTCTTCTTGAAGAGCAGCAAATGTCCCTATCCACTGAGTCATCTCTTCAGTCCCAGGATCCTTTCTTTCAAAGTTAAACACAAGCACACGCATACATGACAGACCAGGGATTCAGCCCAAGAGAAATGAGGAAGCACATCAACACAGACGTGGACACAGACATTTGTAGAGCTACTCACAGTAGCTCAAACTAGAACAGATCCAAAAAGATCAATAAATAGACTGTATATTTTTTCAAGAAAATACATTATTTGAAAGCAAAAAGGAAAGATCAGTACTTAAAATAATAGATGACTCTCAAAAGCATCATACTAAGTGAAAGAAGCCATATATAAAACAGTATAATGTATAGTAACATTTATATAAGTTTAACCCACAGACACACTCATGCGTGTGAGCACACTCACACAGTGTAAAATAATACGGCCCTATGAGTTGTTGACTGGGGAGGCCCCCAGAAGCCCCTCAGACATAACAAGCTACTGTTGATGTTCTTTGTTGTCTACCAAATTAATAATACCTCATTGCTGAAGACACCACACACTTGGGTTATAGAGCACTGAGACCTTTGAGCTGGAGGTTTCTTCCCTGCTGGCTAGCATTTGTAATGCTAGAAGGTGCCATGCAGGATGCTGGAGAAATAAAAGCCATCAAAACTCTCCCCCAAGCTGTGCACACCCTGGGCTATGATAATAACCTGCTTAACAAGATATGCCCACCCATGCTACAGTGGCACAACTGTTGTTGGGGTAACCAACAGCTCTCTTTGTGGATCTGAAGCTGGCTTTGCAAGATGGAACTCATGCCCTGTACTGTAAACCTAACCAAGAATGCCTGTCTAAGGAAGTCTTACGTCTTAGGAGAGAACTTGCTACTGTTATTTTGCTAAATGTACATAGTGTCAAACTTCTTTCTGCTTGGTTAAAAGCATAACCCTAGCTCCCCCTCACCTTTGGAATGGAGCAGGAAGCTCCATTTCAAACCCCCTCCCCTGGGAGTTGCCTTGGTCCGTATTTCAACTCTGGGAAAGCCCACCAAGCACTGACCCCCTTCCCAGGGAAGGTCAGGACCACTCCTACAGCCTATTTAGGCTGCCCTCCAGAAAAGGAACACGTACTCCAGGTTTTGCGTGGTCTCCCCCAGCCTCTCTTTTCCTTGCCATGCTTTCCCTGGCCACCTGGGAGTACAGCATTAATTAAACACGGACATCTTTTATTTGGTCTGATTGGAATTATTTGCATCAGTGGAGAGGCTTGTCTTAAGAAACATTCCTAACATTTTCTAAATCTTATCTTTATACCCATACATGATATTGCTACTTTCAGTCTTTGTCAGAGAAGCCTTGTTTTATGGTGGGCAGTAGTAAGTATGGCTCACTAATTGATCAAAATGGAAAGAGTAAGTTACGGTAGAGTGATTGACCCTAAACAGAATGCCTGTTTTATATATTATCTCCCCTAAAGCTTAGGGATCATTGGAGAGAACATGCAGAAAGAATGTGAGAGCCAGACATCAGGGAGGGTTGCTATGAATCAATGTCTTCTGACTGTGACTTAGTCATTGCTCTCAAAAACTCACTGAAGTTGTGGTCACCTACATAGGATCTGCGAGATATGGCCACCATCATTTCTTCATGTACAGGGGAGGGGCTAATGAGGCTCCATTGCTCACGAAGAGTTGATGGGCAGTTAAGGGGTACTGGAGAAAAAAGGTTCCAGTTTTCACTTGTGTAGCCACTGATAAATTCCTGGTGTTCCAGCAAACATGCCCCAACCCATGCTCATGCAAGTATTCCTAATTAAATGCAAAGTGTAAATACGCCACATTGTGTTTATCCGTGCCTCCTTCGATGAGCACAAGGCCTTTGTGACTTGGGGAGGGATGCTCCTGAAGCTACAGACAGAGTAGAAGATATTCTCATCTTCACATTGTCTCCCAGCTTGCCAACAGTTGTCTTTTCAATTATTTAGAATTTTCTTTCAACAGTGTTTTATAGTTATTATACCTGGGAGTTTGTTATTCTAAATAAAACCATTTTCTTAATTTCATGTGTGAGTCCTTGTTTGTTTTGGACACTGGCAAGCTCAACATAGGAGCTTCATTTCTTGCTGGAGAAAGAAAGAGCAAATCTGAGTTCTTTCCGAGGCTCTTAGGTCTGACTGGAGAATAAAGCTACAAATTTGACTCAAATTCTGCTAGAGACCTCAAGTGGTACATAAGTCTGAGTGCATCTGGACATTTGACACATTCTCTTTGTACACACATAGTCCTGGGTGTCATAAAACACTCCCTACAAATATACAACGCACTTTGACTGTGCCCCACTGTGGGGCCGTTCATCTCCTTCCCTCCCCTCCTAGATCCACTTCTTAAGTTCTCACATCTAATATTAGCAGATGCGGATGCAGGAACAGACTAGCATGCTGGCAGCTTCCTGGAAGTGCTTATGGACAAGCTACAGAAGCCAGCAAGGTCATGAAGCCATAGGCAACATTGCAATGAACACACTGCCCACAGGAATGGCCCAGCCACTCTGGCAAAGGCTGTCTCTCTGCATACTTCTATTTGCTCATGTTCACACTGAAAACAATAGCCATCTGTAAAGAGAATGCAGATTGGATTGCAGGCCATGTGCCCACGCTCAATCTACTGTCGCACAAAAGAAAATATAAAAATCTTCTGGGCTGGAGGTAGGGTCAGTGGATGAGAACATGCTCAGTGTGCAAAAGGCCCTACTTCAATTTCTGGCACTGTCAGAGCAAAAGAAAAGATAGTCTAAGAGATTCAACTTATATTTAATTTGCTCACACTTGAAATTTTGCTTTTGTTTATGCTTTATAAATATACCTGCTATAGTAATATAGTAGCATATTTTTATACTGTATATTCAATTACCAAACACAACTTCTTGGTTTGTGTTTAAGCAACTTATTTTATTTTATTATTATTTTGCTTCCGTATGCATACATGTATGAATGAAATGAGAGTGGTGAACATGTTCCATTGCACATATGTGGAGGTCATAGGACGACCCCATAGAGCTGATCTTTTTCCTTCTACCTTTGCATGGGTTCTTCGGATCAAAATCGGGCCTCTAGGTGACAGATTTCTCTACCCACTGAGCCATCTCACAGTCTCTTGACTATTTTAACTGATGAAGGCTATTAGATGACCACATCATTTGGTACAGTTAGACGTTAGTTTCTTAGGGAGTATTAGTTACCATCAAAATGCTACTTATGGAGTTGAAAGTGAATCTTGATGGGAGGGCCTTGTTTTATATAAGGTTCTAACCATAATATCTCTATAATAAGTCCCAAAGTATTATACAGTTTTTGCTTCTTTTTTTCTGCTGCTGTTAATGAGATTAGGGAGCACAGTAGAGTGAAAAGTCAGAATTAGCAGTGAATCAAAATCATCACACCAGCCATAGGGGCAGCGTTTTTACTATTTTCATCTGAAAGAATGGAGACTCTTAAAGTCCAAGACAGAGAAGAGCAGTAAGCAGTCTGAAAAGTATACACTGTTGAACGATACGTAATACAGAGCTCGGCTGGGCAGTGGTGGTGCATGCCTTTAATCCCAGCACTCGGGAAGCAGTGGCAGGCGGATCTGTGAGTTCGAGGCCAACCTTGTCTACAAGAGCTAGTTCCAGGACAGGCTCCAAAAGCTACAGTGAAACCCTGTCTGGGGGCAGGGGCGGGGAGAGAAGAATACAGAACTCATTTGGTTTTCTTCTGTCTTCTTTTTTCAACCCCAGGGCTTCGCGCATGCTAGACTACCACTTAACCACCGATCTCCACTCAAGTCCTGCCCCTGACTGTTAAAGCTCACATTGAAGCCCAGGACATCTGAACTGTGGGAATTCCAGACATCTCTGAATTCCTCCAATTACTTGGGATCCAGGATTCAGGCGCCTAATGTGGGCCTGGCGCTCGCCAGGCGGCCGGCTTCCCTGCCATTCTTCGCAGGAACTGTGTGTACCACATCAGACTTACTTTCCCAGAAGTGCTTCTGGGACCAGAGTCCACACAAAGGGACCGTTCAATGTGCTTCCCTCCCTTTTGGCTCAGCTGGCTCCTGAGCCTCGGGTCACACACAGCTCACAGTTCCTATCAACCTTTCCCAAAGGATCGCTGGCCTCCTGCAGGAGCCAGCCGGTCCCTGGGGCAGGAAGTTCTGTTTACACTGTCTTGGAGCCAGGTGCTCATCCATAAAAGGGAAAAGAGGCCTTTAGGAAAAGGGCTGGGTGCTTGGAAACTCTTTAAAAGTGAAAGCCTCAAGGCTGCTGTCTGTTGTTCAGAGCTTTGTGCTTAGTGCATAGCGGCTCAGGCTGTGGGCATAGGCCGGCCAGAACATCTGAAAACCAACAGAAGCAGAAAATACAGAGATGTCATGGGAATTCTCAACGCTACACACCCAAGCCAAACTATGGGGTGTGCTTGTTTGCTTGCTTGCTTTGTTTCATTAGCTGTAGAGGTCACCTGTAGACATCAGGCGTTTTCTCTCAATCACACTCCACCATTTTAAGATTCTTCACTTATGTTATTATAGTGCGTGGTTGTAGATGCGTGCTCACAGGCATGGTGCCATTGTGGAGAAGAGAGGACAGCTTTCAGGAGTCAGTTCTTTCTACCAGAAGTTCTGAGGATCAAGTTCATCAGGCTGAATGAGCGGGTGCCTTTTGTTACCACCTGGGCCATCTCTCTAGCCCCAAATGGCTGTCTAGTTAGCCTTCTGGAGCACAGTTCCAGAGGACCACACTGGTATGTCAACTCGATGGTGCTTTGGATAAGAAGGAAGGGTCATGTAGACTCTGGAATATCAGACCTTTGGGTCTATGGATGGCTGCCTCCAAGTTTCCATATGGGTGTTGAGGAAGGATGCTCTGCTTCATCTGTGGGAGACACGTGTGGAGAGTGATGTACACCACGAGCATGTGGGACAGGCCAGGGATAGGGTGTCACACGGGTATCACACGAGAGTCACACGGGTGTCACACGGGTGTCACATGGGGGGCAGGGTTAGGAATCAGAACTCTCGGAGGATTAAACCATAATAGTCAATGTTATTTAATCACAATATAAATAATCAGAATTTTCATTATTTAATAGTAATTGCAGAGTTATTTGGGGATTGTTACCAGAGTCTGGATTAGGGACTTTGCACAGTCAAACGTATTTAACTTTCATGATAACCTTGTCAGTTTGGTGTTATCATAATCTCCAGTATACGGACAGCACCAACATGTTAAAGACTTATTCAAAGTCATAAAAACATCAGTGCTGGGATGGGAACCCTAGGTAGTTAGCCACCAATGCCCTGGGCACTTTACACCACTTCCACTTGTCCACTGTGACTTCTTGCGTTCAAAGCATTTAAAAATGCATTCTCATCTTAAATAGAAATGATACAAATACTGTGACAGCTTAGTGAGCTAAAATAACCTTTGAGGGATTGAGAAGACAGCTTAGTAGGCAATGCGCTGCCCACACAAGCATATGGATCTGAGCTCAATCCCCAACATCCTTGTAAAAAGCCAGGCATGGACATATGTGCTGTAATCCCATAGCTAGAGAAAAACAACCCAATCACCAGAGCTCGCTGGCTGGACAGCCTAAACTAATTGATAACCAAAGGTTCCAGAAAGAAACCCTGTGGAAAAATACCCAAAGTTTTCCTCTGGCTTTCTCATGTGTGTGCACTTGACCACACATGCACGCACGCACACACACACACACACACACACACACACACACTATATACATTGAACACCCAGTCTTTCTCCCATTTGTTCAGCACCTCCTGGCATCTAGGACTATACCTAGAGATTCTGATACTGCTCTCCACTGGTGAAGAGCAGAAATCTCTTGAAGTACAGCCCCCAGACAGACCCTCACCCTACCACATGGCACACAGCTTCCTGTGCCTCGTTGTCTTCAACGCTCAACTGTCTCCCCAATCTCTCCAGCTGGGGCCACATCCGTCTGGTGATGTCTGCTGGCCGTCTGGAGGAATCCGCTCTCCTCGCTGTGTTCTGCGGCAGAGTTGCACCATATATTGTGTAAGGTGTGCTTGGCTCTCCTGACAGGCCAGCATGAGGTGGGTCTTGGAAGGGAGATGGATTCCTACTGTGGCGTCTCATTCCTTCAGCCCAGTCACCAGGTGTGCAGTCTCCAAACATGCCATCTTCTTTGAGGAACGACTTTCCAAAAACTGAAGCCACCTTAGGGACAACACCCTGGGAAGCGCTGGTATAGATTTCTAACAGCTTAGAAGTCACTGATAACCTTAATAAAACCATCTTTAAGCAGGATTTGAAGGAATTAAATGATGAAAAGGTGATGAGACAGCTCACTTGATTAATTGCATCATGACGAGGGGGAATTGGCAGGCCAGGGGACTGTGATTGCAAGGATAGTTTTGTGACTGTTGCCTACCTGTTGCTATCATTAAAATGATAGAGACCTGTTAATGTGTACGACCTGGAAGACAACGGGGGAGTTGGGATATGTGAAGATGAAGTATGCAGATATTTTACAAGCTTTGTCAAAGGGCAGAGAGTAGGTAGACTAGGGGAGCGTGAGGAGACGGCCAGCAGTGTTCTGTATGTACCCCTGGGGGCTGTTGTGGGAGCATTAGTATTCCCAGTCTGTCTGACTGGGCTCAGCTGCCCAGTACTTGACAAGACGGGCAGTGTCTTGGATCATTTGGATTTCAAGCTTGCCAGGTAGAGCAAGAGCATAGAGCTTGCAATGTGTGCAAGGTTTGCATCGTGGGCCACAGAATCCAATCTGCACATCAGCACAAGTCCCAAGGAAGGGCCCATCAATGGGAAAGAGTGGTTGGGAAGGAGAGTGACAATGACCTAGAAGGAGGAGAGGTGATCGTGGCCGATCTGAGCAAGCCGCAGGGACAGGCTCTGTGTCAGAGAGGAGGATGTCTGAGTCTGAGGATGGAGGTGGAGCCACTGCAAGAGATAATATGCTTTAGACTTCACAGTCCGCACCGTGAGAACAGGAAGCCAAGGCTAAGCGGAGAGAAAGGTCATTAGGCCAGGAGCAAAGAGATCACAGGGTCGTGTGTGCCCAGAATAAAGGCAAACGTGAGGATGGAGCTGAACGAGATCCCAAATTTTCCAGGGGTGGTGGAAGTGTCTGGCAGTGGGTTCAGCAGAGTGACTGCAGGCTTCACTGATGGGGTGGGGGCAAGGAGGAGGACCTTGAAACGCGACAGTGCTCAAATTCCCAATCAGGGTGCGTATGCTTTAAAGTCCTGAGCTAAATGTATACTGCTCGTCAGTGCCATGGAGAGAGAGAGAGAGAGAGAGAGAGAGAAAAAACACTAAAGTACATGGTGGCCTCTGAATGACAACAGTGTGTGTATCACACTTGATTCAACAGCTGTAACAGCAGGTCAGGGTGGGTTAGGGCAGTTGCAAATACATGAACCTAAAACTTCTCAATTTTTTTTTCAAAGGAGGCTAAAAATAATAGAATTTTCTACTGGGCTATGGTGGTACACACTTTTAGATCCGGTACTCAGGAAGCAGAGGTAAGTAGATCTCTGAGTTTGAGGCCATCCCGGTCTACAGAATGAGTTCCAGAACAGCCAGAGCTATACAGAGAAACCCTACCTTGAAAAACAAAACAAAAAACAAATAGAAAAGAATAATTGAATTTGAGAAAAACAGAAAAGTTAGTAGCAATTAAGGCAAGGGGGGGGGAGATAAATTTCACAATCTCCACCAGAACCAGCTTGGTTTATTTTCTGCTGCTACAAGAGAATACAGGAGGGTGGGCAACTTATAAGGCAAAGCACTGTATTGTATTTGTGGTTCGACATGCCAGAAGCCCAAGGTTCTGCTTAAAGGAGTCATTGGGTCACTGAAGCAGCGCCCTGTGGGTCAGTTCCTCTGTTGACAAGGCTGCGTGTTTACTGTAGAGTGTGAGTGGTTTTGCCTGCGTGTTTGTAGTATGCACATGCCTGGAGCCCCAGGACTCCAGAAGAGGGTGTTGGATCCTCTAGAACTGGAGTTACAGGTGGTTGTAAGCCTCATGTGGGTGCTGGGAATTGAACCTATGTCCTCTGTAACAACAGCCAGTGCCCTTAACCACTGAGGAATCTCTCCATGCCCCAAATAATGTGTTCTTAGTATTAGAATGACTGTGTTGTTTAAACAAAATTAAGTCACACTAAACCAAGGCTGTCCTCTGATTCTGGCTTCCTGTGTTTCTTCAGAGCCACACAGAGGCTTTAGAATGAGTGAGGTACTGAGCGGACACTTACATGGATCACCTTATCTAACCCATGCAGCACAGTGACACTAGGTGGGCCTGTTATTGTCACCCTAGTCCTTACAGGTAGACTTGGAGACACAGAGATTAGACAGTGTTCCCAGGACTGCAGTCAGCAGGTTAGAGGGAAGAGTCAGCCTCAAAGGCTTATAGCCAGTCTCCTCTATAAATGACAAGAGGACCCCCTACAGGGGACATCAAGCCTACCCTCTTTCTCTTCCTCTCCTCGCTGCCCTCATCAACCACCAGCCACAGTCTTGTGCACTCTTCAGGGGACAAAGCCCTTGACTGTTGCTGGTCCCAACACCTTCCTCCAGGTTCCACCCTCTGTCCCAGATGAGTCCTCTCTAGAACAGGATATACAAGGTTGGTCCTCTGTACTTCTGGATGCTCCTCAGTCCCCTCATCTGCCTCTCCCAGCAGCTCCCTATATCAGCTAGAACAGAATTGGTTTATATCTCTCATAGGCAGCAAGCACTCATCATATCTAGGCCTGTTTTATTCCTGCCACACTAGCTCCAGCCTTGTGCCACAGCATCAGGACTTGGTGTAGGAGCATTCTCTACTGTCCACACAGCACTCACCACACTGAAACGTAACTCCAATTTAGGTGTCTGTCCCTTCTGCCTGAAGGCCCCAGAAGACGAGGTGCTGTCCTGTCATTGAAATGACGCTGGCAACGGGCATAACTCCTAACGTGTCTGCTAGGTGCCCAGTCATATTGGTTGGAATAAGTCATGAAAATGGAACCAATGTAATCTTAATCTAAATAACCCTTAAAGTACACGAGACCCAACAACCCCTCAAAGTGTGGGAAACCAAGTGACCCCCTCCTAATATATACACCCAAACTCCAGAAAGTACATAGGACCCAATGATCCTCCAGACTATTTGATACCCAACTCACACAAAGCACATGAGATCCAGTGACTCCCAAAGTCCATGAAAACAAATACCTTCCCAAAATGTATAAATCTACCCCCTCAAAGTATATGGGACCTAGTGACTCTTCCAAGTCTATGAAACCAAATGACCCCCAAGGTGAATGAAAGCAAATAAGCCCCTAAAGTGCATCAATCCTAGTCCACTTAAATGTGTGGGAGTCAATGATCCCTGCAAGTGTATAACCCAGGGACATGCCCAAAATATATGTGACCTAATGACAGCCAACAACTCCCCAAAGTGTATGGGACCTAATTACCCTTCAAAATGCCATTGTCTCATCTTTGGGAAAATGAAGAACTCAGTAAACATTGAGAGGTCAGTGACCACAGCGATTTGGGTTCTTTAACATACTCTAGCCCTGGTGTTTGCTAGACTCCACTCCATGCTCAACTCCGCACCCCACCAGAGCAGGGCTTGCCTATTTACAGTCAATCACCGGGCAAGGAACTTGATTCTTACAATAAATGTACTCTGTGAAACAAATAAGGAATAAGTAAAAGACCTTTAATCTTGACAACTTCGGTATGAGTTATTTTTCCACTGCTGTAAAAAATGCTGTGACCAAAGACAACTTAAGGAAGGGAGAGTTTATTTTGGCTTACAGTCTAGAGGGCACAGAGTCCACTTCAGTGGCAGCAGGGGAAGGAAGCTGAGAAGTCTATCTTTGGCTGGAAACACAGAACAGAGACAGAAACCTCACGTAGAGTGAGGTTCTATAACCTAAAAGCCAATCCTGCCCCCTCCAAGGAAGGTTGCACCATCTAAACCTTCCCAAACAGTTCCACCTACTGGGAAC